CCTGCTGAAAAGGTCTAGTCCTGTCTGTGCCTTGATACCACAAAGTAGCTGTTTTCACATTTAGGTAGTAACAAGACACCTACACACATCTCACTGCCTAACCTGCTAGGCTTGCAGAGCACGAGATCAGACCCTATGTGAAACCCAGCTGAAGAAAGAAGTTCCTCCAGGTTGATGGGAGGATGCTCATCTGGCCTTTGGCTTACCCAGAGCTGGTTCACAGCAGGGCTGCTGTCACTAGCTGCCAGAAACCACTCGCCCTTGCAGCTAGCAGCCTTAGACCATTTGAGGGACACACGATGCGGAGTTTGCTCTCACTATGTGTGACATTTTGGGTCTTCCTGAGCAGTGTCCCAGATCTCAAAGTGCCCTAAACCAACTTGTAGAATGGACAGATGGAGGTTGCATTAGCAGACAGTCAGTTATTACTTACGAAATGCAGCAGATAACTTCTCCCTGTAGCTATGCCTGGATGCCTCCCTCTACATTACACACACTTAATTCTGCTTAAGCATGGGTAATATCAAGCACTTCTCATGTATTTCCATGAAACTGGTACAGCCACTGACAGATGAATGCTTTTCTACAGAAGGCATGGGGGAAAATGGACAACTGCTTGCTCTGAACCACTCCCGCTCTAGGGACCCTATTTCTACTAAAATCATGGAAGGAATCACTTAGAGCCACAAGCACAATGTTTTACTTTCATGCTGATTTCATTTCGAGCTGATGCTAGGCAGACAAAAGGCAGTTCCTTTGATGGGTGCTGCACGTTTTGCCAGGCCAAAGTAGTGCAGCGAGCCATGCCAGGCAGTGCAGCAGACAGCAGAAACTGCTCATCAGGCTGTGCGTTGTGCAGCAGGTCATCCAGTGAATGCCTAATGAGCCTTTGCAAAGTGGAGGGAGCTTCAACACATTTCTCAATTGAATTAATTCCTCTCCCTTAGAGCATCTGTGCAGGATGCTGCCCCTATGGGCTGGGGATCCACACTTACCTGGTGAAGTAAGAAGGAGCAACTTCCTGCAACTTCCATAGGGTGTTATGAGGCTGAACCCATGGATGGATGCATGGGTGGAGTTTGGTAACAGTGCAAAATGATGGTGCTCTCTACCCAGACATATATGCATAACTGTAATGCCTGTGCTCCTGGGCTGTGTGTCAAGGAACAGGGTTAGTGTGATAAAGTTTCTGGGCATCAGCATCAGCAGTACTTGCAAAACTTGAGTATTGAAAAGATTCTGGGGGGTTGCGGAGTGGACGGCATGATGATATTGTATACAGCTCTTCAGGAAAACAAACAGATCCCACAACAGACACAACAGACATGCACCCATCTGCTGCCAAGGAGCTATGGCACATCTGCTTGGACTAGAAGTGGTGAGATGCCATCTATTTCATAGGAAATAACTAATGTATATTTTTACTTAGCACCATGCTTTATTCTGCTACTTTTTCCCTCATCCTTTTTAATGATTTCTTTTATGTTGGAATGTCAAACATCAAAATACCTCAATGATGAGGATTTCCCTGGTATAGAAAAGATACTTTCTAAGCTTTTCTTTCCTTGGAATTCCATCTTATGAATCTTCTTGTGCTGGAAACATAAAATACCAGAGACACCAGACTTAAGCAATGCCATTTATTGAAGCTTGAAACAAATATGTCATCATAGTTTGCTTTTAAAACCTTGAAATGTTAGAACAAGCAGTGAATGTGCCAAATACACATTTTTTCCTGAACAACCTGTTGAAGCTGATGTGTCTCAGGCTAATATAAGAATATAATATTATGCCTCCGCACTTAATACTCTATTCAGTTTTGAGAATAGTGACAATCTGGGTTACAATCATAAATCCCCTTTACTTAAAAATAGTTATGTCATAAGAAAGGAATCATGCGAAATGGATGGGAGGGATGATTGCACATATTATTAGCATAAAGGACATATTAGGCTGATGAGTGTGATGTAAGAACCTATGTAAAATACAGCAGTGGCACTACTCTACTAAAACAGTTCATGTTGTTGTCACAGTCTTTTCCCTAAAGTTTTAAGCTGAGCAACAGTGATGACTGTGGTTCCCTGGGTAGAAAGATTATTTTGATTAATGTCCATAATATAATTTATTCACTTTTATCCATTTCAAATGAAACTACAGCTCCCTGAAGAAAACAATGAAGCCAGAAATGGTTTTACTCCACACTGCCATAAGGAATACTGGAAGGGACAACCCTCCCAGGCACTTTTCCTCCCACCTGCACTATACCTACTCAGTCATCTCCCTTCTCATTAGCCCACATACCTGCTGGCCCACTTCTGCTGACCTCTGTGGATAAAACATTGCAGGTACCTCTGAGCACAGAAGAGTCTGACTCTGAAGTGAATCTAACTTTGTCCTGCCCAAATCCTAGAAGATGCTTCTGGGAACATCAGAAGCACCTGTACTGTCCACCAGTCTAGGCTGTTTGGCCATCAGAGAACCGCCTTGCATGTAGCAGTACAGGCTCTGCTCTGCACAATGCAGCCTAAGGCCAAGCCCTGCCCAAATGCTTCCCAAATCAGATGGGACACCTCCACTCCTTCACATGATTCCGTATTTCTGTGTCCAGTGAAATAAGAACTGCCCAGATTTCTATTGCTCAAAGGGTCAGCAGCCATTCAGGACCTTAGAAGGATATAAGCACACTGTGAAACTTAAAAAGCATTATGCCTGGCATTGGCCAGCAACACCATAGACGTATTATGTTAAGAGTATGTGCATGTATGCTATGTACACACATGCATGCACATACACCATTATAAGTTATCCCCCACATGTGTTACACTAGCACCATATTTTTAACAGTGGATTTTAAGTTTTATCAGCACCTATAACTGGGGTTATATTGCCACAGAGGTTAATAAATCTAACCTTACCATGCTGCATATCCTGAACTCCCAGTGACTTCAGGTGAAGAAGTAAGCCCTTAGAGAAAGCTCACAAACCTATGAAAAAGGACAATTAGACTTGTGGCCATCATTAGGTTAATACATTATAGCCAGGCCCAAATATTTCTATTAACTTTCACAAAGGTCTTTCTAGAAATAGGGCTATTGCTAGTCATAGCTCTGTAACCACACTGACACTTGGATTCATGGCTATGTGTCTCACTCCACACTGCATAAAATGTGACATTTCCCTGTATTACAATCTCAAATTGTCAGGTAGCTAGGGAGTAAATCTGAGATTTTCAAAAGAGCATGAAGAACTAAGGTGTCCAAATCCTACTGAATTTCAAAGGAATCTAAATGTCAGACAGACTCTGTCCACCTCTTTTGAAAATGCCCAGCTTTGCTTCAAAGGGTCTAGTCTGGTGTCCCTAAAGTTTGTTCTGCCATTTTCTTCAATAGCAAAACAGACACACTATTTGGCTAGTGCTCTCCTAATGCCTGAGGCCCAGAGCTATGCAGATACTCTGGGTCTCAGGCTCCTGTCCCAGGTACCCTCACCCTCACTATGATCAAGGATTTGCACTGGGGCAAAAGTTTGCTGTGAGTGAGGTGACAGAGTAGTCTTGTGGATGTGGGCTTACACTCTACTGGATTAAATGATAGCTCTATCATTGAGTATTGGTGTGAATTACAATATGTCTATTAAGGTAGTAGATGCAAACAGCTTTGCTTTCATGATACCAAGAAATGTTTCTTAAAATGTATTTGGGAACTTAGCATCCCATATTTGGTGGGGTTTTCAGGTTACAGCAAGACATTTGTAGCAGAAGAAAACCGTCCAGGACAGACTATTGCTGAGGTATCCATGAGAGGTTCAGTCAAGAACTACATGAACATTTTTTCTTTTGAAAAACCCAATGTTTCAATTTGGCCTGTATTATCATAATCAGTTATTATAAAACGCTGCTTTCAAATTTATGAAGTGAGCAAATAATTTAGGGAAACACTGCCACTTCATCTTGATTCCTAAAAACAGAAAAGTGAGTAAGCATAGAGGGATCTGGCCCACAGCACAGTTCTGTGCCTGCTGGCCCGTCGGCTGCCTTCACTCAGCACTCCTGAGTAAATGGTGCTGCTGTTTCAAGTGGGTTTCGGAAAAGAGACAGAAGAAAGAACAAGTAAAACATTAATTTATATAAAAAAATTCTTGCAAGCTTGTTTCTAGCCTCTATGCATGCCTAGAAGTACTAGCTGCTGGTACATTGCAAATTACATTACAAATTTTGGACCATGACAGAGAAAAATTTGAAGCAGTAAATTAGGACTGGTAACCCTAAGGGATGTGTTTCCCCAGTTTTGATCACAGATTTCCATTCATGTTGGATGGTTCAGAAAAAAAGAAGGAACGTAAAACCTGTAAACAGAAGCCCTACTCAAAGCAACCAGATAAAAGACAGCTAGTGCCAAGCAGCTTGGTTGTTGTTTCCTTGGTTTTGAGGTGATTTTCTTCTAGATTTAGTGTAATTTTGTTGTCTGAGGCCTCGCTGATCCCAATATCTTGCTTTGTTACGAATTCGGGGCTGACTACACGTGAAGCAGCACTGAGTCTGTATGGTCGGCAGCAAGCACTTGCCAATGCCTTTCAGCCTCTGGCAGAAGTGAACTGACAGTTGGTCTTTGCTGCAGGGTAGTCCTATGGTGGATAAGATAAGAAGAATTATATTTTGCTGACAAATTATCTGTATTTCTAGAATTTTAAACGACTTTATGCCAGACAGTCATGCCTGTTAAGGCTTTTATTTATGATAGCTTTCTCTTCCTTTGTCTTATGGGTCAGCTCGATCCCCCTGAAATTTTAGGGACTTTTAAGTGAACAGGTCCTATTAAACTCCATACAAACTTCTGTCTTCGAAAATACAGCACTCTTTTATTACTTTTCAGAGAGGCTTTACTTTTTCAGTAGACATAGCTGATCTATGTTTTTCACTTTAATGTTTCCACTTTTAAGAACTGCCAGAGAAAGTCTAGCAACAATGATTTGTGAGTCTGGTACTTCTGCATTCTTCTAACAGTGAATTTAAGACAAGCGCAATGGGCTGGCAGCATGCTGCAGAGCCATGCAGGGCAGGCAGAAGAGCATAGACAAGGCATGTGCAACTACATGTTCAGCTTGACTATGCTTCAATTTCTGCAGCACCAGAATAAGCCAGGGACTGGTACTGTACGTATTACGGTGCTGATAGGTCTGTGGTAGCTTTAATAAACTGAGATGTGTCAGATTTAGTTAGGTATTACAAAACGGGGGTCCTCAGCTGCGAGAAGAGGTGGCTAGCGGGAGAGTCAAGGCTTGCAGAAGCAAGAAGGCAGTGGATTAGCCGAATGCAAGACTGTTGTTCAGCAAATCCCTCAACACTAAACCTAGGGAAACTCAATGGAACTAGTGTAAGGGTAGTTTAAAACAGGTAAAAGCACTTCGCTTCACAGCAGGCTGTGACCCTCTGGAACTTGCTGCCACAGGAGAGGGTGGAAGCAGACAGCATCGCAGGGTCAAAAAGGGATGCAACTTATTCATAGAAAAAGTTTCATAAATTTAAACGTTAAAAGACGTGCCTTTAATAGCCCTAATATGTCAGTTGGGAATGCTGGAGGAACACCATAGAAATGAATCACAGAACAGGACTAATGTCCTGTATTCTCCCTAAGTAGCATCTTCTAATGCTACTGGAGACTACTTCTAATGCTGGAGACACAATATTGGGCTGCATGGACCACTGGTCTACCCAGTAGGGCATTTCTTACGTTTCACTGGCCCCTTGAGCTTTTATTCACAGAAATAACTATTACTAGTCTGTGTAGGTAGTATTTATCCAAGTCTGTCTTGCTCATCATGAGAGGGACAGGAGATAAGCAAACTAACTCAACCCTAGGGCAAAACATGTACTAAAAGTCTTTGAACAGCAGGAGGAGTGATGCATCACTCTCAAGTGTATGCCAGATCTGCACTGCCCTCAGGAGTCAACCTGTTGTCTCATTGCCACATCGGACCCTTATTGCTGACTTGCTAAGATGGAAGAATGCTCCTCCAAAAGGCCTTTGAAGGCTCTTCCAGAAGGACTCTGAGATGTTGCTGTTCTTACCTCAGGGTACCTGCTGGATACTGCAGTACACAGACTATAGATAAAGATACCCTTCCATAAGCTTCCTCCCTCCCCTGCCATTTCTTTTCTGGGCTGTTACCATCTACACAACGGGGCTCCCGGACCCTTGAAGGAGAGAAGCACTGGACACCCTGAGTCCCAAGAGGACTTCACCTCTTCATTTTGAAGACAATCTCACCCTGTGGGACACTTAATTCATAGGGCCAAGACTGTATCTGGGTTCACTGCCAGTCAGATTTTTCTTACAGTGTCTGTCTCACTTTGCTTGCTTGCATTCCCAGTCCAGAATTTGCAGTTCCCATAGGGGTATCTGTCTTAAGAAATGGCATCTGTTTGGACTCACAGCATGTCCTTCCACAGTCCTCAAAGCAGCCTGTGAGTTACCTAAAACAGGTCAATACAAGCAGACCTATTCATTTAGTTGTGGCATCATAAATCAGTGATGCATGCTCAGAGAACTGCATTCCCCATCGTGGCAACAAAGGCCAGTAGGGCTGAAGAACATGAAAAAGTGATTCTGCCAACAGTGGAGCGGAGCAGTAGCAGGTTAGGCTGACCTATTATTACTGAGCCTGTAGTATTCACAACAAGCTGATAAATTGGGTCAGCCCCCAGTTTTTGCAGAATCAGCACAGATGGAGAGCTTCTTGGAAACTGTCTGATGCAAGTGTATTATCATACCTGTACTTTTCCTGCACTCTTGCAGATTGCATTTCTGATACTTTGTGGGCTTGGGTTTATCCACACACATACTGTCATCTTCAGTTTCATTAGTTTCTGTATTCGTGCATTGCACAGTTCTTTGCTGAATGCCCCCTCCACAAGAAACAGTGCACTGAAAGAGAGTAATTTTAACATATATAAAAGTCTTTTACACAGAAATTGTGTAATATGCCAACATTTGAGCTGTAATGTGATGGAAAGCTAAAAATGCTGTATGATCCAGAACCAATGAAATACTTTGTGTACTGCATTCTCCATCCAGACATCTCCATGGTGCATTGTGGCCAGATGTGGCAGGATACGGTAGAGGGGTAAATAGTACAAATAAAGCATCTTGGAATGTGTAACCAGGTAAAAGGACTGTTTTCTACAAAGGAAGAGGAGGATGATCTGAAATGCCAGTCCTACAAAGTAAGAGAGTAGTAATCCAAATTAGTACTGCACACTGACATTTTTTATTCCCTGTGTTTTCTCATGGTCCAAATTAAACATGAATAACCAATTGCAATGTCAGGTCTAGAAATGATCGAGCTGAAGATTTCAAAAAAGCTCAGTAAGATGTTTTATCTTTGGTGACATTTATACTGTTGTTACCCTTTCTTTACGACCACAAAACAACTGCTAGCTGCTTATTCTGGCTGCACATAGATGGACATAAAAAAAGAACATTTTCAAAACATGCTCCTGTACTATTCAGTAAATGTATTTAATTCTTCCAACATCCCAGAGTGTCTGAGAATTCCAGCTAATTTTAAATTCTTTTTCTCTCCAGATAAGTAATGGCCAGCAAGGTAAACACGTCAACAGAGAGACAAGGCTAGCCAATGAAGCGTGAGAGATAAGACAGGACTGGTACCTCTTTAATTTTTCTGCAAATTACCCTCTCTCTAATGTATACCTCTGTGCATAAGACACAACGTTACTAGTATGAAGTACATTAAAAGATCTTATGTACTCCTGGGGCAACTTTAGATTAATGTTTAAAATAGAGTTTTTATAAAGTAAAATAAATAGGATTAATAAATCAGTAAAATAGCTGCTATGCATTTTGGTATTCAGTTAATTGTTTTATGCATGTCCCAACATTTTCACTTCCATATTTAAGTGTTAGAGTTACACTAACTCTACATTACATTATATTCATATCCCACCTAATGGCTTTGTGTCAAAAACAACTCATTAAATTTTCTGTGTTAAATGACTCTCCATTATTTCCTTATTTGTGGCTCCTGGCTTTTGGTGTACTTTCAATGTTCTCTTCTGCTATGAGGACTATTTGTAATGTATGAACAGGTTTATTAAGGAAACTGGAGGGTAAGGTTTATTAGATATACCAGTTTCTTTATAACTAAACATACATTGCAGATACTGGAAGGTTCCCTAAAGATACACCCCATATTTGTCAATTAGATTTCAAGAAGCCAAAGTAGAGGGCTATTGGTCAAAATTCAGAATTTCCATTTGTGTGGGCAAGTCCAATATTCCACAAAGTTGCTTTAAGGGTCACCCCCAATGCCCCCCCAAGTAGACTCAAACAGTAAAACATTACAATGACTGGAGAGGCTCTGGAAGCACAGACAGATCAAACAGCCTAGTTGTACTTTGAAGAATTCAGCTAGGTGCATATCAGGGACTTTTATTAGCAATTCAAGCTTTTCCCTCCCTCTCTAAAGATGCTCTTGTCTTGTCATCCTCTTGAAATATTACCTTACTCTTTACCTAACTGAACATGATTGAATTTCTACCCAGTAGCCTCTTCCAGTGGAAAATTTCAAATGAGTAATGGAAGAATGCCAATGATAACTCCTTTTTTATTAGAAAAGGAAAAAAAAACATCCCTCCATCCAACAACATGTAATGCAGGAACAAAAAGTAGAAGCTATAACCTCTATCACCCGAAGGAACTGAGACAGGCTGGCTCTGAAATGTTTAGTAATATTTTCAGAAGATCTTATTTTGTGGCTCCAGCTGTGCATAAGAAATCATACTTGCCATAGGCACTGAGGTTCACAGACAAGTGGATAATATGAACAAACATGACCAACTCAGGACAACAAATAAAACAAAGAAGAACTGAATCCTACCGGGCCCCATGCCTGGTTAATCCACTGCGTACAAGGTTGCCTGTTACATGATGCAATGGCATTAGGTCTTTTTGTCCAGTCACAGTAGCCTTCTTCTGGGCAGTAGATACGTCGCTTTTGCTGGCCACCACCACATGTTCTCGAACACTAACAAAAGAGGTGTACAAACCCATGAGGAGAGAGGTGGGAATGGATGAGAACCCAGAAACAGACTACAAAGACAGTAGGAAATGTGTTTCATTTAGAAATGTGCAGCCACAGGTAACAAGAAGCATGTCACTGACCCATGTGATTTAGGAAGATGTACAGGCTAGCCTGCATATCAAGTCTTACAGTCCAGATATGAAGAAAAGCTCTGCACTAAGACATTTATTTCATCATATGCTTGGAAACAGACAGGGAAGAAGCCACTATTGGTCCAAAATATTTTGGGGAAAGCTTTCCTGACATGTATTAATGCAAGGCATTAGGACAGCATGGAAGTGGCAACATAGAACAGACAACACAGAACTGCTGACGCAGCACCACTGGCAACAGTGACTCCTCTAACAAGAATGAGATTGGAAGTTACATGTCTGCAGGATTAATCTGTAATATTTACTGAAGACAGTACAAGTTCATGAGATGCAACATCTCATTTTTATGAGGCAGCTGGGGACATTGAAATTCACCCAATCCATACAATAAATTAACTATTTAGCAATAAAAGCATCATACAAAGACAGTGACCCAGGTCATTTTTTAAACATTCTTTAGTCCACATTCTAGTATTACTTACCAAATGATTTTTTACTATTACTCACCAGGTCTGCTGTAGAGTCCGCTTGAAATACACAGAAGATTTTGTATTCTGACATGAAATAAGGTGCCAGACATACTTTGAATAATGCTTTGTTCCTGTCCTACAAGGAATTGCCACGTGCTTTAGCTGATATAAATATCGGCCTGGCTGCCTATGAGTTTGTTGCCACAGATTTACGTTACAAAGTCACCCAAAAGACAGATTTATCTTATGTCTGACCTCAGTCTCTGGCCCCATAAAATTCCAGCCCAAAAGTGTAAAGGAAAATTCTAAATTAATCATAATGAGAAAGCAAGATTAAAATGGCAGCAAAAGGGATCAGTCTGAATGAATCACATTGACTGATCCACTAGGATATCTAAAACAAATCTTCTTCCAGGCCATCTGCTTCTCTCTTTCAGGGTATCGTAATTTACAGCTCTAGCTGTGAATCACACACAATCCTAAGAATGATTCTGGTTAGTCTTACAAACAAGATAATTTTTGCTGTAACTGTACACAAGGACTGCAGAGCCTCTGAATAGTACAAGCTGCATGTCTTCCTTTAAGTGAGTTTACCTAACAGCATGGGATCTAACAGTCACTGTTTATTGACAGCTAATTGCTCATTCCCAAAGCTTCTTCAAAAGAACAATACCTCATTCCAGGGCTCCACACGCCACTGCAAGCAAGGCGCCATATTACAACTAGTGTTGAGTTGTGGTTTATATCCGAGTAACTGGCAATGAAAAGGCCTTAGAAGTCGTTTTTCACGAACATCAATGCAGAGAACATCTCGGGTCTTGAAACCACCATTGCAGTTAGCAGAGCACTGTACACAAAATAGAAAGGGGCACATCTCCAAACGATGCTCTGCTGAGCAGCTGTCCCTTCCCCAGTCACAGAGGAGGAGGACAGCCTCAGCTTTGAGCATCCTGACTCACAGAGGGAGTTTCCAGCTTACTGTAAGAATAATCTGTTGTTAGGCTTAAAAACTATGGTTTTCATCATAGCAAATCAGAACACGCCACACAAATATTTCCTTTTCTTCACTGGAACATCCATTAATAACACAAATGCATATTTAATTGGGAAATCTTGCCAGCTATTTCCAAAAATGTCATAGTGAAAGAGTCATAACGCAATAAATACAATAAACAAATCCTGTATGCAGGGAAATTGTCAGTTCTTTAGTTGTTTCTGAGGGAGGAGGGGAGGAAAGAGACACAGCTGCATAAGTTGATTTCTTAATTCTACCGACACCACTGAATAACCTCAGACCAGCTTTCAGCTTTACCACCATGATGCAATATAACAACTGGTGATGTTCTCCTTTGCATAAATAAGCATTCTTCAGCTGAATAAGGAAATTAATATCATACTTCCCCAGGGAGCTGAAGGATGGATGGAAGGGGAGTCCATGCCCTTGTTCACAGAAGCTTCTGTCCCTCTGGATAGAAACAATGGACAGAAGTGACTATGCAAGCAACTGAGTACACACAGCCCCCAAATACATGCAATTGTATTTGGTATTAAACTTAGACTGTAAGATCTAGTCTGAAGCACCTTTCTTTTCAGGGAGGGGAACAACTAGATCAGAGAAAAGGAATAGAAAAAGCTTTACTACACTAGTAGGGGAATATAGCCATCTTGCTGTGATAAGGGGACATAAAAATGCTTGAAATGAGTAATGAGAAAAACAATTGCCACTTGCAAAATCAAACAAAAAATAGCCAGTTTTATATATGAAATTGTAATTAGGTTTGTGTAGTTCAATTGCTGGAAAATAAGGGTGGCTAACACAAACAGAAATCTGCTAGGAAAAGCCTTTTGTCTCAAATTGGCCTCATAATTGGACTGACACTTCGAAACATTTCTTTCCTATAATATTTTATCATGAAACCTGATTTCTAGCTGCTTTCTGTGATGTAACTATTGTTCACTTGTTGCAAGCGCAGTAACATTTACGAAGAAAAAGTGAAGGTGAAATACGCCCTACTGCAACTGGGACTGCAGAATGTCTATGTATCATTTAAAATTAATTTCAAAGGCTTAAATGTGGTTATGTAATGCTTTGGCCTTTCCTGGACTTTCTGAAGAGTCACGTATATCATGTACAAATCAATTCTATGTCAAAGAGCTCAATAATATAACACAGGGTTTGTAACAATAACCTTTTCTTTGTATGAATCTGCCCTCTAGTCCAATGGCAACAACATTGTCCACAAAAATGATACGTACTGAGAAAGTTTGAGAGATCTATCTTTTTCTTTATTAAATCAACATTATTTCAAATAGAATTTTGTAGTTTTTCTCTTTTGATTCTTGAAAAATAACACACTGTTTGAAGCCCCAATTTTAAACAGGGTGAAGACAAAAGTAACAGGATTCAAGAAGTCACCAAAGTCCTTCCAGGTGTACACCACACATCTTATAATACCAAAAAAGAACTCAAACACAATTCCTTGGGTTCCACTTACCACCTTGGACACTCTCCTGTCTCTTGACTAGGCCTCTGTACATAAATAGGACCAAATAAGACCCTAGCCATAGCAGGCATTCTCCCCATTACATTTTTCTTTAGCTTTACAATGTAAAACTTAGAGGTTACATGAATGGGGAACAGACCATGTCATCTGAGAGATAATACACAGTGGCAAGGGTGAATAGGACTATGCCAACTCCCTCTCCCAAATTCCCACTTCCTTCTTAAAATCAGGATATGCCTCTGGAGGCAGAGATCGAAAAGATGCCACACGCAAATACATACAGCTTTGCCCTGGGACCTCCACAGAACATGGACAGTGAGCCTTGCTTTAGCTCTAGATGCAAGAATTAATGAGCATGACCCCCACACAGGAAGAACAGAATTCACAGCAGATGCATTTCCATAAATAACTTAGTCAGGAAATTAGTAAATTAGTGCTGAACGGTCAACTGGGAATCATGTATGCATTCACTGAGTAAGTAACTATTTTAAAAATGAAGTATTTAGAACTCCCTATTCTTTGAAGTTAGCAAGCTTAGTTCAAGTTCACACACACAAGTTCACACACAGCTCTGAATGAAGTTACCTTGCTCCAATTTCCTGTTTTCCAGCTAGCGCATGGGCGGAGATAACATTTTCTTGCAGAATCAGGCTTTTTCATGTGCTGACAGTGAGATGTGTTCCTGCTGCTGCACTCCACATGTCTCCAGAAAGCCCCCATTCCACAGGTGGTAGAGCACTGCACAAGGGTGAGAGGAAAGCCCAGGGGCAAACTCAACATTAGTAAATCATTTTGGAAACAATCCAAGAACCTAAATATAAATATCTAGAGCCATTTTAGATGACCTAGTTTATCTGAGATACTAAAAAGAAGATTTCAAATTCACCAAAGTCTTACTTAAGGTTCTGAAGGAGGTCTTTTTGTTGCTTTGTTAAGAAAACATGAATTCTGATTTATACCATGCACTGCTCTTCTTTGACAAACTCCTGCTTACTGAGACATTCTAAATCTGTACCGTCTGTCCCACTGTTTCCTTCTGTGATGTTTGGGGATCCAATACAAAATGTCATTGCATCCAATCTTCAGCACTGTTCCCTCTCTATCCCTAATACTGCTTATGATATATTCAGCAAATTGAGTGCATAATGCTGAAAATCTGAAATAAATTGTGTGAGACTCTTGGGAAAACTGTGCAGGAAAAGCATTTTTTAAATTATGAATTCAGAGAGTGGCTAAGTGTTTCCAACATTTGGGAGGGTTTTAGCGTCTGAGGTAAGAGAATATTGATCATGCCAGTCCAGATCCCAAGAGTGCACACTCTTCACAAAAAAGTCACTGTCATTGTTTCTGAAGCAGATAGAGGTGAAAAGTGGCTGGAGACACCCATTTACCTTTTTCTCCCTTAAAAAGGGAGCAACAGTGAACTATAGGCACAGAGTCAAATCCAGCACATACGAAGCAGCCTGTAGCTGGCACGAGAAACAGCATAAATAAACTTGGATTAAGACTGCAAAATGATGAAGAGAGCAACTGCTATTGTGTAGTTTGAACTCCCTGCACCGAAGTGGGAGAGTTAACAGGGAAAGTCCTTGGAAAGATAAGGAGAACTAAGCTGAAGCTAAGGTAGGGAAAAAAAAAAAATGAAGAGATGGAGCTGTTACCAGATGCAACCAGAGAAATGGAAAAATGGTGAATGGTCACAACAAAGAATTTTTGAAAAATTGCACATTATGAAGAGTGTGAATCAGCAAGGCCTCTGCAGCATGCCATCTCCAGCTTCCAAGATTCCTGGGACATCTGTCCAAGAGGCCACAAAGATCCTGTTAAAGCAGACTGCATACCAGTGTTAAGTTTTGCATAATCACATCTTATCCAAGACAACTTGTCTATTCAAGAGGATTGACTATCCCTGTCTTGATTGCTGACTCTTTGATGGCTCCCCCCCAGCCCTGCTATACCAGTCTGACAACACCAAGACTTTACTGAAGGGCTGCTTAGTCTTTGACCAAAGCTCCATTCTGAGCATTCATGAGAAAACCAAGGATAGCTCCAGGGATGATGCTGGGTAGATCATTCTGACAAAGCTCTATGTTCTTGTCTGAGGGAGGTGAAACATAGCAGGATTCTTTGAAAAACTGTTGTGTGCTGGTACAGAGCCAAGAGAGAAAGGCATGATGCTGCAAACAGTTCTGGGAGAAACCTTTAGCTTTCTTGACCGTTATTTAATGTTATGTAAAGGAGAGCAATTGCTCTGAAGTTCAGGAAGACTTACTGCTTTTCCCTTTTGTCATTCAGGAACCAAGACTTCCTCTTGTCACAGTAGATGTCTAGTAGAGAGGGAGGAAGTACAGATGACTTCTCATGACCGATAACAGAGGCAGAATGAGTAGATCTGGTGGTAATGGGGTATCTTTAGTACCCAGAAAGCTCTTAGAAAGGGAAAAGTGACAGCCCAGAATGACCTGGGAAAGTAGTAGGAAAGAAGTTAAAAGTTACAGACAGAGGCACCAGTGTCATGGGGCACTGTTTTGCCCCACTCTAATTAGTGCTCTCCCTTGGGAGGTATCAATAGTGTTATGGGACATGTCACACCAATCCATCTCAGTGATTATCACTATTCTTGGGCACTATTTATTTATCAGTATAGACACACCCTAAGGAGCAAAAAAATGTCAGAATATCGGCAGTCACTAAAAGAGAAAGATCGAGAGCATAGCAAGAGATTCAACTAGGTAGATGCAATGGTCCTGAAATACCAATGCCTTGGAGAGATGTCACCTAAAAACAGGCACAAAATTTTACTAAGGACAGGTAAACAGAAAGAGCAAAAATAAAGTCAGACAATTGTAGACTAAAAATTAATTAAAAAGAATGAACAATAAGAAAAGGTTCTGTGCATGTCAGAATCAAGGTGTAGGGAGGAAACACAAAACTTTAATTTTATGAGAAAAGATAACAGATGCTTTATTTACAGAATCACAGAATGGTTGAGGTTGGAAAGGACCTCTAGATGTCATCTTGTCCCACCTCCCTGCTCAAGCAGGGCCACCTAGAGCCAGTTGCCCTGGACCATGCCCACATTGTTTTAGAATATCTCCGAGGATGGAGATTCCACCAATTCTCTTTTCCACCATCTTTTCCTCTTCAAACTTGAAAAAACCAAAAGTTAAATGTGCCAAACCAAAAGTTAAATGTGCCAGGCTTCACATAAAGTTAATTTTAATAAGAAACAATAGCTTGAACAAGAATAGCAAAAGATTACTAAAAGACTAAAGAATAGTAAAGTTTAGACGCATTAAGTATCCTTGAATTGATTTCATCAGTTCTGTGAAACCAAATGTATTGACCTTACCTCAATATTCATTCAAGTGTCCTTGAATAATCTTTGAACTGTTGAAAATTATTTTTTAAAATAGATTGGGAAAGTCCCAGAGGATTAGAGAAGGACACCTTTCAAGTTATCTTTAGGAAAAGAAAAAGGCATATCTGTGGACTAATGGAACACTTCACCTAACTTTACTTCACAAGAAGATACAAAAGCAAATTATTAAACAATCAAGATCAAAATTGTAAATACTAACAAAGATGATAAAGCAATGAAACAGACCAGATGAACCTATCTAGAAGAAATTATTCAAGTCAATCTAGTATCAGGTCTCTGAGCAACCTGATCTAGTTGAAGATGTGCCTGCTCACTGCAGGGACATTGGACCAGATCACCTTTAAAGGTCCCTTCCAACACAAACCAGTCTATGATTCTATGATCCTTCTCTGACAGGGGTACATGGCTTAATGAAAATAGAGAGCCAGCTGATGTGATGCATTTTGACATGATCTCGTAGGGCATTCTTTTAGCAAATGATGGAAATATAGTCTAGGTGAGATAATTACAAGATTGGTGCACAGCTAACTGAAAAACTGTAATAAAGTGGTTCTTGGTGATTCAGTGTCAAAATGAAAAGACATTTCAAACATGGTCCTGCAGGGCTCTGTCCAGAGCCAAGCTCTCTTCAGTATTTTCGTTAACTAACTGAATGATGAAAGACAGCATGCACTTATGACATTTGCAGATGACACCAAGTTGGGGGACTTGGCAGGAATGTTGCAGGACACAATCTGAATTGAAAAACTTCTCACCAAGTTGAAAAATTGTAAGAAAACAGTAACCTGAGATTCAAAAACATACGCAAAATCCTACATTTAAGGAGAACTTTGTATACACATATATATACATATATATACACACACAGACATGCACACACATATATACAAACCCCAAACAAAACTGAGAGCATCTGCTGATCTAGAAATACTAGATCCAGGGTTTACAATGGACCACAAATTGAATAAATCTAAGTGGGATGGTTATAAAGCAAGACAAATCTCATCCCAGCATTCACAAAGAGGGTCACATATAAAATGATAGGAATTATTCCATTTTATTTGCCAGGTGTCAGCTGGGGCCATAATGAAAATCACTGATGAAGAAACATATGATGAAACTGAGCAAGTCCATGGGAAAACAACAAAGCCACCAGATATTTAGAAAACACAAGGAAAATATGAAAAGAACCAGATTGTTTTGTTTAGAAAACAGATCCAAAAACATCCGAAAGACAATTATCTTCCATGGTCTGCATATAAAAAAATAGAAGCTTCATTTTCAGTACAGAAGATGTTGCTTATGTATAAGGAAAATATTTCTAATGCAGGTAATGAATGACTAGGACAGTCTGAAGCATCTCTGTATTACAGACTTCTGTTCGGGATGTGCTGGGCTTGGGAGCATAACCTTTGCCTGGACTTTCTCTTGCAGGCTCTTTCACCCAAGCAGATCTAAATGCAGGTCCCTGGGGTATGTGCAGAAGGAAATGCATCACTTGTCCCACTTGAACATGGGAAGCTAAAGCCATTCTCACCTGGCCATGGGAAGGCATAAGATGAAACTTCAGGCTGCCATCAGGAGTGCATGTCCTGAACAACTGCTGAAGAGGTGGTGACAGAGCAGGGGTCTTACCCACTAGCTGCCTACAGACGCAGGGCACCAACAGGCTCTCAGTTGTCTAGCTGTGCTTCCACTGCCATGGGATATGCTAAGTCATCTCTTGCTGTCCTTTTTAGCCCTGCATTTCTGCATTTCCATTAACTTGCATTATTCCAGGCAGACCCGAGAGCAAACAGGTACAGAGAAACAGACTTTTGATAGCCTTCTCAATCAATACTGAGCCACAGAGGCAGATCAGTGCAAGGAGGTTTCCAGATCTCGACCCTTGGCTGTACTGATTAGCTTGGCTAAAAAAGGCTCTCAGAAAAATAAGGTAACTTGTTCAGATACCAAAGTCTCTCACTTTAGGTACCACGATTTGAAGAATATAAAATTCATTAGCATAAGAAGGACATGGACCTGCTGGAGCGGGTCCAGAGGAGGGCCACAAAAATGATCTGAGGGCTTGAACACCTCTCCTACGAGGCCAGGCTGAGAGAGTTGGGGTTGTTCAGCCTGGAGAAGAGAAGGCTGCGAGGAGACCTTATTGCAACCTTCCAATACTTAAAGGAGGCCTACAGGAAAGATGGGGAGAATCTTTTTAATAAGGCCTGTTGTGACAGAACAAGGAGTAATGGATTTAAACTAAAGAAGAATAGATTTAGACTAGACATTAGAAAGAAGTTTTTTACAATGAGGGTGGTGAAGCACTGGCACAGGTTGCCCAGAGAGGCAGTGGAGGCCCCATCCCTGGAAACATCCCAGGCCAGGTTGGACGGGGCTCTGAGCAACCTGCTCTGGTTAAAGCTGTCCCTGCTCACTGCAAGGGGGTTGGGCTAGATGACCTCTAAAGGTCCCTTCCAACCCAAAGCATTCTATGATTCTATGATTTTGTGATTCTATAAAAAGAAATCTGTTTACATAAAACCAGAATTTTACAGTGGGAAGGATACTAAATAGAAGTTTATTCTATATTCTCTTATTATAGTTGCTAGAATTAGGTGGTTGCCCCCTCACCAGCCCTGAACCCCAGAAATTACTCCCTCAGGACACATCAATGCAACAGCACAGAAACCCAACTGTCAAAAAGCCTGGTGCTGGGTATCGCTAAAGGAAAGTCAATAGCAATATACAAAAAACAGTAAGCACTTTTCTGACACCATAGAAAACTCTGTAACCCATATTGCTTCTGCACTGAAGTTACCCACATATTATAACCATTCAGTAATGACCAGGGATCAGGGGTAACTGGACAAGACACCACCTTTCAGACCAAGTATCTTCCAGATGCTTTACACCTCAAAAGAGTTTTCAAACTCCCTGTACTTGTTTCATTTACTCAAACAGAAAAACTGTGCTTTCGAAAGTGAGTATTACAGGATGTTAACACCTGTTTTGATTGAATTTCAGTACTGTTAGAAATTAAAAAGTTCATTTTGGCACAGTCATTAATGCAGATAAAATAACTGTTCATTTCTACATTCTAACAAGACATAGTGTAACTGTTAATTATCAGCTGCTGTATCCAAAGACACTGTACAACCACAACCACCGGCCTAACGATTCTAACTTCTATGCCACCCAGACAAAATGCTTTTACTCTGCCACTGCTACAATGCAGTTCCAATACAGCAACAGCTAAACTTAAAAAAAAAGTGTGGAAGTCCATGTTACAATGTCTCCCCATGGACATGTGCTAGACAAATTACAAACCCCGGATATACCAGTTTAACTTTGGACTAATATTCTTATCTTTGCCTTGTAGATTCAAACTGGTTTTACCAGGCAGAATGCTGCTCTAAGTTCAGAGGTATTTGCTTAACGGTGGATACAAACGCTGATGGTGGGATGGGATAGAAATGCACCACAAAAACCTGTTATGTTAATAGCCAACTAAACATATGTTTAAGTATCCACGTTATTTAGTGTGCTTTATTCAGTAATAAAGCTAGCTTACCTACATGACCCTGGACACACACTAAGTTAGAAAACACACATAATTTAGAGAGAAATGATATGTAAGTGAATTTTAGAACATAATAGCACATCTACAGCTAACTTGTGTTATGTACTTATTTGGAAATACAAGCATATTCATTTGGTGTCTCCAGGGTCCACCTAATAGCTTAGTTTTTTGCTGTGCCCTAAAATAAAACTCTTGAGGTATTTCTGGTTGTAGTCAAACCTCAGTGTCACGTCCCTGGAAGAGTTATACATAGTTTTGCAGAATCCATAAATACAGACACATGCTATGTAAGGCATTTAATATTAGATATTCCAATTTACCAATTTTTTTTGTGTGACAGTATTTCATCTGAACATATGATACTCATTTCAGATCATCGCAACAAACTAAGAAGCTTTATCTTCTCAGCAGTGGTTCAGACAGCTGTTCATACTCTCAACTTCTTATGAGTTAAAAATAACTTACCTCACTCCAGTTGCCTACTATCCAGTAGGCATCACCAGGCAAATTGTTGGATGTTATTAGATGGCTGTTTTGTGTGACATTTGTCAAAACCCCCTCAGATGTTGCACTTTGGTTCCTGAGAACATGCTTGAGAGCTGATGATTGTGTGCTGGAGGTTATGGTGTCAAGTAGCTTCACTTTTCTTCTGCTGTCAGTCTGGTCTCTCAGTAAATGACCAAATGCTGTGGGCATTACTGTAACAGATGCTTCTTGGGTAGGTACTTCTACAACAGGCACATCAACTTGCAGACTGATATAGTTTGCTGTTGTTGGAAATGCCAGTCCTTGTGCTGCTTGGCTAATAGGAAGGAACGTAGAAGGTTCTTGGTGATGAGATGCAGGGGTGGGCTGAGAAGTCACACTCTCATTCTGAAGGACAGAAGAGTCTGTATCTAGGGTTGTGCTCCTGGTTCTGATTTCAGGATTGAGTTCTGTGCTATAAAGGAGATCAATCGGTTTCTCACTGCCTCCAACTGACCCATCAATGTCATCAGAGTCTTCAGTTAAGTAATCATAGCTGGAAGTTACTTCTGGACTACTGGTAAAAGAGGAGACAGGACTGTCCTCACTTCTTTGCACCTCACTTTCTACAGTAGAAACTGGCTCCCTTTCAGAAATATTTTCAGCATGCCTTACAATTTCAGTACTTAAGCTACTATGAAAAGGCCATGAAGTAGTATTTTGGTGTGAACTATGTTCAGTAGAAACAACGTGATAATTGTAAACATCACTTGGTCCAGCAAAATTATTTTGTAATGTTTTGTTGGCTGTTCCTTCTTCTTCTGAGACATTACCCAAACCAGAGGATGTAGGCAAACAGGGTGTTACACTTCCAGGCTTGGGTATTTTTGTTGTTGTATGGGACCTCGGGCTTGGTATGGGTATTCTGGGAGGAGGATTCTGTTTGGGATTAGTACTTGTTTTTCTGATTATGATCTTTCCTCTTCTGGGTGCCAGGCGGGGTATCGGAAATCTTCCAGCAGAAGGACATTGCTGGAGACCACACAGGGCCTTGGAGTTGGGTCTTTTGGAAGTATCACATGGCTCATCATTATTTTTGGCACAAGTGACATTACGAGTCCTTATTCCACCACCACAAGTAACCGTACACTGCAAAAGAAACAGAATTAATACATCTCCCCTCTTCATTCTGCTGCACATATCAATAAAAATAAGTATCAAATGGCATCTGTTTAAAACAAAGAAGCATCATTACAAATAATCCATAACAAAGCTTTTCCTGAGAAATAAGCCCTTCATTCTAGTGACGTTCTGCTATCATGGAGCTCTTTCCAAGTTTTTGGAACAGTAAATGTCACATTGAGGAAACAGCAGTGAAAAAAAGACTACACAATAAAGACAAAATATGGAAGTAATATGCTAGAATTTTATTTCTTCAGTGAATAACAAAAGTTCTTTAGCCAATACCTTTTCCACCAGGGTTATAAAAAACAGACTAAAAACCTGTCACCACATATCTGACTGGCTCTGTGCTGGTTATTCACAGTGCCACAAACCTGCTGCGATCATCCATGCAACTCACAGATCCTTGTTGACTTTATGAAATGAATTTTTCATTCAGTCTTAGTGCAACCACCACATGCTGCCAGGGCTGCTAGCATACCTCTCCTAAATTACAGGCTACTGAAAGTAATTAACCTATCTGGCTTCTGTTTAAATGGAAGTACTGTTGTGTATAAAGGGTGCTGGAAGCTAAGGAGACCCTGTTTTTCTGTGATGTTTTTCATCCTCAACCCTACAGGCACAGCCATTCCTTCAGCAGCTGTCCCTCCACTGAGGACTTTCTGAAATTTCAACACGCTTCTCTGGTTTGAGGTACTAAGGCTGGCTGACTGGTTGGGTATGAATGGAGATGTTACACACAACCTACTGGAAGAAGTTGGCCTTGGATGCAAAGGAACCTAACCTAATTCAGCTGGCTTAAACTAGATGCTCAACATGAAGTGATGAACACTCCTATTGCCAGCACTTTAAAACCCTGGAATATCTAACCCTTTTTAGACCTAGTCTAGGTCGCAGGGCAGTAGAAACACAGTGGAGTTGTGTTATTGGGGTGCTCTCTGTTGTTAACACCTGTAGAATACCGTCAGCTCTGCAGCAACAGGAGCAGGGAGGAAAGCAGAGTAACGTCAGAGTAGGTAAGTTCATTAGCTATTCTGCCTGTCCTCCTTGCACTTCCAGCTGTATAGCACATTTAAACTAATCAAAGCTATGCAAGTTTACATCAGCCGCAATTTGACTTCTGAAGTTATTCAGTAAAGGATTTTGTTTGTTGAAGAAGACAGCAACTATTACCACTATGTTGCTGACGACACAGAAATACAACACACTTATTTTGTCAGACTTTGCCACGTGGATGATTTAGATTAGCATTCGTGTGAGTTAAAAGGAACATCCAACCTCATTAAATTTGCAGGTAATGGCTGTCTCCCAGAATTAGCTTTGAAAATCTCTGCTTTAGATTACAACCATGTACTAAAAAGAGATTTCAGAATGGCTACAACATTCCAGCCTCATTATCTGCCTAATTAAGTACGTTCAGTTTGTAAGATACAGAATGATTTTCTAACAGCCAGATAAATTCAGAGCAAAAGGAAGTTCTGCCCATATAAAATCTCTCCCTTACATTCACCAGTAAAGAACATTCTGCAGTTACAAGTCTCCTGACAATCCTGTCATTTGTGCAGGAGAAATAGTCTGTCCTATGCACAGTCCCCAGTTTCTACAGGTGTAGAAATTTATTTTTGTCAGTAACTTGCAAATATAATCCAACAACACAAGAGCACAGGCTGTACTCTGTAACAGCATGCTATTTCTATATAATCGCACTGCTAGCCACATAATCCCAGTCTACTTTTTCACAGGCAGTTAAAACATGGTGGCTACTCAATTCACAAAACAATCAACATTCAGTGATGATGGTTCGTAAGCAGCATAAATGGAATTAAAACTGTCACAAAATTCTGTTAACTCATTATCTGAATCTGCTCTCAAACACAATAATGAGTCTAGTAAAAAAAAAAGTTAGGAGAAAAAAGGGAGAGGAGTTTTCAAAAAGGGCATAGAATATAACAGAATATTTTCAGTTGGAAGGGACCTACAACAATCATGTAGTCCAACTGCCTGACCACTTCAGGGCTGACCAAAAGTTAAAGCATGTTATTAAGGGCACTGTCCAAATGCCCCTTAAGCGCTGACAGGCCTGGGGCATCAACCACCTCTCTAGAAAGCCTGTTCTAGCATTTGATCACGCTTTTGGGAAAGAAATGCTTCCTAATGCCCAGCCTAAACCTCCCCTGGCGTGGCTTTGAACCATTCCCATGTGTCCTATCACTGGATACCAGGGAGAAGAGACCACCACCTCCCTCTCCACATCCCCTCCTCAAAAAAGCCTCCTTTTCTCCCAACCAGACAAGCCCCAAGCCCTCAGCCGCTCCTCACAGGACATGCCCTCCAGCCCTTCCACCAGCTTTGCTGCCCTCCTCTGGAAGCGTTCAAGGACCTTCACATCCTCCTTAAATTGTGGGGCCCAGAACTGCACACAGCGCCCAAGCTGGGGCCGCACCAGTGCTGAATACAGCGGGATGATCACCTCTCTGCTGGATGATCCCCTCTCTTGACCGGCTGGGCATGCTGTGTCGGATGCACCCCAGGACGCGGTTTGCCCTCTGGGCTGCCAGGGCACGCTGCCGACTCACATTGAGCCTGCTGTCGACCAGCACCCCCAGATCCCTTCCCGCAGGGCTGCTCTCCAGCCACTCCTCTCCTAATCTATACTTATGTCTGGCATTATTCCACCCCAGGTGCAGAATCCAGCATTTGTTCTTGTTAAATTTCATCCCATTAATCACTGCCCAATGCTCCAATCTATCTAGATCCCTCTGCAAGGCCACTTGTCCCTCAGGAGAGTCAACACCACCTCCTAGTTTGGATCAGCAGCAACCTTACTAACAGTGCATTCAACTCCTGCATCCAGATCATTGGTCTTGGAAGTTTTGAAAAACTTAGTAAACTTCATTTTTCTTGACACCTGAAGTACAAAATACTTGTTGTGCATTTGTTGTTAAGATTGTCAGCTACACTGATGGATAAACTGCCTATTTGTGAGGTGAACCATGAGCAAGCTGTACTACAACAGAATCAGACTAAAATAATTTTAAAATTTCACGTGACTCAAAACCTACGTCTCCCCAGTCCACAAGAAGTATCTTAGTGCATTTTTAGTTTTCATGGAGAAATAGACTGCTCCACTTGTTTGGGACCCTGCACTCTCCTTGCCTTCAATGGAAAGTGAAGTTGTGAAACACCTGTAGATACCAGCATCCCAATCTAAAGAAAGCTAAGAAGCATGAAGTACTTCCACAGATTAGAACCTATAACAAAGCACATCATATGATACTAACAAACATTGCAGAATATGTTGCAGTATATTTAAACAAATATAGTATACTGCAGTCATCATTTTGACGACCTCACATTCTGGAGTTCATCAGCTGCTAACAAAATAACTGCACAACACTTAATTAACTCTTGAAGGATACACAGGTATTCTACTGTTTGTTAGGGCTTCAGATTAATACTAGAAGTAAGAAGCTTGCATGCTGTGGCAAAAACAGAAGAGTTACAAATGCAAGAGATATAAAAGTATAGAATGTAAAAATGCTTCTCTGTAGGCCTACAGACATGACACAGAGCCTCCCCCGATCTGGTCCACAGCAGTAACGAGTATTACACAGATTTTTAGCACACAAGCATGCTCTGTTCTACACTCCCAAAAGCTCAGCAAGCCAGACTCCTAGAAACAGTTAACACGCAACACTTGCTGAGGTCTTTAGCAAGCAGGGCAGCTTTTTTTCTTCTGTACAAAGGATTTGTGAAGACATGTTAACAAAAAAAATTTAAAAAAAGAAAGACAAAAAAGCAGGTCATTGGTCCTCTCTGCTGACTATAATAGGTCATTTTGAAAAAAAAAGTTCAATATTACAGCTGACACAAATTTACCTCAGTCCAGTTGCTCACTGTCCAGTCAGACGGGCACAAGACATCTCTGTTGCACGACAGATGGGTCTTTGGTTTAAGCAGGTGCTGGCACTCTGTGGCAGCCAGTGCCTGCTCATCAGATCCCACTGTCTGGATACAAAGAACAGTTCGCTTCTTCTGGCCTGTTGGGCCACATGTGGTTGAACATTTCTGCCATTCTCCTGCCCACCATCTGAAAACCAGGGGGGTAAGAACCATCAGAAAACAATCCATCACAAGCACATGAAGGACAAGGTCAGAGACTACAAGAAAAAGAATCAGTAATTTAAATTCTGGGCTCAAGTATACCCTTTTCATATTAATTCCAGATCACTCATGCTTTCCCATCTGCCCTGTGCTCCAGTACCAGCCAGTCACTGAAAGATGCTGATTCCCAGACAGCAGTAGGCACTGAGTATTATGTGTCTACAGTGTTAAGAATCCACTGAGTACATGGTCTTTCAAACCCAAACTTGAGGAACTGCTGGCAAGTTTAGTAATCTATTTACTCTATGCTATTGTTTAGCTGCTTATTGCTACCTCACTACAGAAAGAGTTAACAAATGAGAATCACCGGAGAGTCTGTAATGACAACACAGAAGTGGAGAAGGTTCCCTCACACATGTCCACGCAGCCACTACTGCACAAGTGCTCAAACTGGCCCTTCATTACCTCCAGAAGGGGAAGCAGCAAGGCACACAACCCCAAAAACCAGGCTAGTCAGAGCTATACTGCATGCACCCACATGGGATCAGTGCCCTGCAGTGCTGTGCCTCTGGGCCTGGTCTCTGGGTCTGCACTAGGCTGGACTTTTCTGTACTTTGTTCCTCAATGAAGTAAAACCAAGCCACTTATGTGTCTCTCTCCTGATTAAAGATGGTCTTCCATAGCATACTATGCGATGTTCCACTGAATGAAAGACAAATGTTTCCTCTAGTGTAGTATTTTCCAATGCAAAACACCTTACTGACAAGAGCTGTCCCCTTTATGTTTGGTTTACCTTAGCCTTTCTCCAGCTTCATCCACCTATTTCTTCTCATGCTGACCGAGAGTGGATCAAATATCTACATATCTGCCTTCCATGATAAGAAAGGAGGGCAAAAACTTACAGGTTTCTACTATTTGAGGAGCATTGGCATCAACTGTGACATTTGCCTGAAGATTTACCTTTACACTTTAAAAAAAAAAAAAACCAAAAAAGAAAAGTCTTTTTTCTTCCAGTTTAGAGTGCCCTAGGCAAGAACATAGTTCCAAGCTGCTGTACAGAAAGCTGGCCCGGCTGTGAACACTAAGCCAGAAAAGCTCCTAGACAATATTAGTTGTTCCTGAGTTTTGAAGCAGGTCATAGAATCATAGAATCATAGAATCGTTTAGGTTGGA